CCATAGATGCTGGCTTTGCAGACATGCAGAATGCAGAGTTGTGAGGTCATGAAGGCTTCCACCCAGAATGACACACGTCAGCAGTGTGTGGCAGGGTCACAGTCCCATTAGCCGCTGGAAGTGCAATGCATTGAACTGTCAGAGTGAAGCCAAAACTGCAGTGGAGACTCCAGGAAGTCAGAGATGCCAGGAATATGGAATAACTGCAGAGGGAAGCTGCAGGCAGCAAGCACAGCCAGCGAGGTGAGGGAGGGGCCGTGAGGGTTGCAACTAACAAGGCTATGGTTGGAGAGGCTGCCCAAGCCTTCAAGAGCCCACATCTCACCACAGTGTCCCAGGAGCCAGACACAGAGCTGTAGTGCTTTAAATGATCCCTGTCTGTTATTATTCTGTCCCTTCCATTTGGAATGGGAATCTTTACCCTGTGCCTGATCTATTGTATGGTAAAAGTATGTTATTTGTTTCTTTTATTTCTTACAGGGTTCACAACAGCTAAAAGTTTTCCTTGAGAAGAGAGTTTGAACTTGGACTTTTGAGTGATACTGGAAGAGTTGTGATTGAAAGGACTCTTGGAGATGCACTAAATGCATTTTGCATTGTCAGTACGCATGAACCCTTGGGAGCCTCAAGTGATCGTTTGTATCCCAGCCTGTGGTACTAAGGGAGGTGTTACCTTTAGGAGGTGAGTCCTCATGGCAGGTTATTGGGACCACACCCTTGAAGGAGAGAATGGGACTCCAACCCTTTCCTCTTTCACATCCTGGCTTTGAGGTGAGTGGTTTTGCTCCACCATATGCAAACCCATGATGGGCCACCACAGGGCCAAAGCAGTAGGGCCAACCAGTCATGGACTGAACCAACAAAACCATGAGCCACAGCAAACCTTTCCTCTTCATAAGCTATCTCAGGTGGTATAGAAATAGAAAGCCCACATGTTTCCCGCCATGTTTGATCTAAGGAGAGACCTCAGCAATCAGTTCTACTCGTGTATACTACAAATGATAAATTAGAGGTTTTTGCCCACTTTTCCTTAGGCCAGTTGCACCCAACAAAGTAATAATGTAAATATTCCCTTGTTGTGTAGACATGGGCCAAAGAGTCAGGTAAAGTCCTATGAACAAAACCACATCAAAATGGTTGTGCTTTTCAAGGTCTTAAGATAGGCTTTGAGTTGGACTGAAAAAGTGGTGAACGGAGTCTATTCCATCATTGTTTAGCAATTTCCCACACAAAGACTACATAAAGTCCTTGCTTGTAAAACACACAGGTGAAACCAGTCAGTGGTGGCCAGTGTCCAGGCTGAGGTCTTTTTCCCTGAGGTTGGTTGCAGTGGGACCATGCACATCTGATGAGCTGATAATTCCCATCCTGTGCCTTGCAGAAAGCTCAGTTTGGCAAGAGCTGCAGAAAATGAGCTCATTGGCTGCCACGTTTGGAACAAACACTTTAGGGTGCTAGAAACCTCAGTGCTGTTTAATTCTGAGGAGGAGGTAGACAGCTCAGATAGCTGACATTCATGACACCAACTGCAGGGCCAGGAAGCAATGAAGGCAACCTTCTCTGCCCCTCTACCTCAGGTGTGAAAATCTTATTGATAGGATGTGGGAAGTCCCTACCCACATGGCCACTCAATCTCCCTATTGGCTGTGTCCCCCCTCAGCTCAGATCAGACCATTCCCCGCTTCACACAGTGTCATCACACTGCCAGGACAGGGAAGCCCCCATAAACAGTACCTGCGTTTCACTAGAAACCTAAAATCTGGTAATAAAAATGACCACACAGTGTTCTGCTGGGCTCCGTCTCTCTTTCCAGGGAAAGCACAGGGACTTCGGGCTCTGCCCACAGGTTAGTGTTTCTGGCAGAAAGTAACTTCTGAAATTCCACTTAGTGAAAAGAAAGGTTGCCTTGGAGAGGACTGAAAGCAGAAGGGAGGGGGATATTGAGGAAGCAGAACAATGCTGGGAACATGCCTATAATCCCAGCAGTCTTGGAGGCTGAGGCAGGAGGACTGCAAGTTTGAGGCCAATCTGGGCAATTTGGTGATTTAGACCCTGTCTCAAAATCAAATAATAAAAAAGGATTGGGAATACAGCTCATTGTGAATGTCCAGAGTTTAATCCCCTGCACAGTCCTGGGTCAGCAGCCCACAGCAAAGTCTTCTTTTCCCAAAGAGGACACAGGAGGCCAAGGAAAAGCTTCACTGCCCTAGCAGCCCAGGCCCCTGAGGGCTGCCACAGCCCTCTGGGTTCCAGAAGGAGTGGCAGACAGGATGCATCTGGCTGCTCTTCCAGCTGCGAGGAAGATGAAGCTGTGGCTGCTGCTGAGCTGCCAGGCCTACTGGGTTCCAGGTGACCCAAGGCCCAGGCTTTCCTTCCTCCCTTCTGATGTTATAAATTTAGAAGTCAAGGCAGTTCCCAGGGGCCGGGTGGGGACTCTGAGCCCTGAAGTCCATGGGACACTGAGAACAAGGAGAGGTTTCCAGGTCATTTATAGCACTTCCCTGACGTAGAGGAAGGGGAAAGAAAGGGCTGGGACTGACACTGAGCTAAAAATGGGGAAAGTAGAGAGGGTGGTGGTGGTGACAAAGGTTAGGGTTATCCTTTTCTTCCTTGTTTTGCCCAGCAGCAGCCATGGAGCACATAGCTCAACCCGGTCTCCTTCGTAATTGGGACTGAAGCACAGAAAGGAACCTCAGAGGGGATCCCCAAAGCTCATTCTTAGCCATGTGCTTAGATCTCTTATTTTCACACATACATCCCAGCTGCAGATGGAGGCAGCAAGGAGCTGACACACGCAGACATCCAGGCGCAGTGTGGAGGCCAGAGCAGGGGGCACCGGAAGGGTCACATTTACAGCCAGGCCTAGAGCTGGCTCCCACTTCCCGCCTGCAGCCCTGTGCACGACCCCCCACTTAGCACCGGGTCTGGGACAGGCCACGCACCCTCAGGTGATGTCCCCTGGGGCCCCTCATGCACCAGGCACTCTTGGAGGCTTCCAGATTCTTTGGAGACATCTAGTGGCTGCTCCCCCTTAGGGGATGGGGACTGTGAGACTTAGGCCCAGCAGGTTAGTAAGCAGCACTCTCATGAGGGTCGACCCAAAAACACATCCTAGGGAATGCAGCAAGTTAGGCCAAGCATTAGAATTCAAAGTCGGGCTTGAGGACTGAGTCCAGTGTGGCTTCTACTGCTCCACTAAGCCATAGAGCTCTTTGCAGTAGGTTGTTTCATCAGGTTTTTTTTTTCATGATGGATTATATTTTTATTATTTTATCACACTTTGGGAACAAATGAACTTTTCCTCCGTCCCTTTTTCCCTTTCTTCTTCCTTTTTCCCATCCCATCCTTTTTTTTTTTTAAATTTCCTTCTTTCCTCTCTCCTTCCCTTCCTTCCCTCCCCGCCTTTTTTTTTTTTTTTTTTTTTTTTTTTTTTCTTTGATG